GTGAAATGCTATAGTTTGTTATGGCCCCCTTTCAACCCTAATCTAAATCATAACCCTAACACTTCAGCTCCCAAAGTAACACGAGATGGGTACTTAGTCATGTAAAAGTGGTGTACCTATTTCTATGATTGTGTTTAGTTTCGATACTTCTTCTGGACCTCCGGCTGTTTGCTCCCCAGGTAGGGTTTACAGTTATGATTTACATGTTACTGTGACCAGGTGTAATATTGTGATGCGTATATAAGCAGTTATATTTGGCGCTATTTTTGGGATGGTCATTCGGGCATTTTCACTGCCTGGCAACCATAAACTGTACTTTGGGATAGATGTTGAGAATCCTCTGAACAGTGTAACAAGATTGCCCCTACATGTGCTTTATATATAAATGTTGTTGCTTGGGATTACTTCAAAGTTGAGTTTGTGTTTTTTCCTTGACGATACCTATTTTCACCGGCTCTTAGACCGACGTTCCATAGCAGCGTGCACAGAGCCCATAGAAATATATGGTACAGTGGTGCACGTCTTAGCAACGTGGAACATTCTGTGGCGTAGTTCTGCCCCTGAGAATTATTATTACATTCAATAGGTTATTACCATCTCAAAATATGCTGAATCTTTTATTTTGTAGTCCTACATATGCTACCCCAGCTGTATTAAAGAAAGCTGGGCTTGAAATTAGTGATATTGATGTGTTCGAGTACCATGAAGCATTTGCTGGACAGATATTGTCAAACTTGAAAGCTATGGATTCTGATTTCTTTGCCAAGACCTACATGGGTAGGCAGTCAAAGGTATGTGGGAAAAAGAAATAAACCTGTACCAGAGATTTAACCCATGGTTTTGTAATCATGAGGATTGCACCAGTTCATCGTGGGAGATGTCATTTAATTAACTTGCAAGCATTACTGGATATGTGTTAATCCTGTGTGTGGATATCTTGTGAATATCTTGTGATTGAAATGAACCTATTGGCAGTTATGAGGGGGACTTGTATATCTATTTAAAATGTGCTTTCTAAGAGACAAGAATTACATATAAATATTGTTTAACTGCTAAACTAATATCAAAATTGTTTTCTGCAAACTTTCATGGCTGTATGCAACATACTGATTCTCCAAAAAAGTTTTGTGGAGCTTTCCAAGCAAATTGAGTGCTCCACAAAACTGCTCCAAGCAAATTGACTGCGCTTTGCATACTGAAATCAAAGATGCATCTTAACTTTTTTATATACCCCAGAGCCATTGTATAAAGAAAAGCAAGTGAAACGTGTATGAACCAAAAATTACAATTGTTGTATACTGAATCATTAATATATTACTCAGGCCAGACTTTTTTTTATTCCTTGTTTCTTGAGTTTTTTTGAGGAGGGCGAAAAAAAAATAAAATTCTTTTTTCCCCCATTAGATTTGCGTGATTCTCAAAGAATTGTAAGTGATATCATTGATCTGAAAGAAGAAATGAAATAAAATTTTATTCCATGTTTAACCTTGTTTCTCATCTGCGCGAGACTTCGGTACTTTGATCATGATACTCCCACGAAAATGCAACTTGGGTTTGTTATGTGGCGGGCGAAAAAAAAAATGAAGATAAAAATATTTTTTTTTAGCAATTTTTTGCACTTACAAGTCAGCGGGTGCGAGAAATTACGCTGAAATAAAATTTTATTTTTATTTCATTTTCAGCTCCTGTTCATTTTGTGGGTTCACGAAACAAAGGATAATAAAAGTCTGGCCTTATTTAATTTATACTGATAGATTACCTAATGTTTTGGATTTACAGGTAACTGCACCACCGCTTGATAAGTTTAATCTGTGGGGTGGTTCACTGTCACTTGGACATCCTTTTGGTGCTACTGGTGTGAGGTTAGCCACTACTGCTGCTCATAGACTCAAACATGAAGATGGTCAGTATGCTCTAGTTGCTGCCTGTGCTGCCGGTGGACATGTAAGTACAATGTCGCCAACTCTTTGTGGGAAAGTAAGGTAATAGACCTCTTGTCGGACTTGTGGGTGCATGACATCAATAACCATCCATTGTCCACCTTCTTTATACGTTGCATGATGCCCTGATATTATCATGCATGTTACATTTTCAAATATGAATACAACTTTGACAGGCTCAAAATTAAACAAATTTATTGGAAGCCTGCTTTGGGTACAGATTTTTAAAGCTTTTAGTTCCATTGCAATATTTGTAGTCATTAGATTAAGTCAGTACTAGAGCCATGCAACAAGTCTGAAAACAAGACCCCCAAAGCTTTTAGAGGATAGCAAGTTTATGTGACAAAATAAAGCATTCTATTTTTTAGATTTTCAGTAGCCCAGTTAGGCTAATAATTTTGTATGTGGTCGCCCCCCAGGACAAGAGTTGGTGTGCTCCTTGGACTACTAATAATTTTGAAATTAGTGTCCCTGATATAATAGTTGGTAGTCTGTGCTTCATTACTACCAGTAATGATTTTGAAAATAGTAGCCATGGTACAATAGTTGGTTCTGTAAAATACTTTATTTTCGCTTGGATTTAATTTTCGCTATTTTCGCTGAAGAAATGATTCAGTGAAAGCAAAATCCAGCTAATATGACTTTTTCCATATATTTTAACATTACACTTGCCAAAACTCAGTGAGAATAAATTCCATACAAAACACCCGAAAAGTCTTTCCAGCAAAAATAAAGTATTTTACAGTAGTCTGTGCTCCTTGGACGACTAATAATTTAAAAAAAACTTGTGGCCCTGGTACAATAGTTGGCTGTCTGTACACCTGGTAATTCTGTATGGCTGATGTATTAATGACTCTCTGCCAGTAACTGTCATGATATTGTGGATGTTTATTTTCTCATTTGTTCGTCTTTGTTCGTCTTTCTGATTTGAATATCTATGAATAGTAAACTGTCTATTAACCAGGATGGATGCTAACCTATTTCTTGTCCATCTTTCTTTCAGGGTCATGGTATGATTGTTGAGAGGTATCCATCATAGGATCTTTTCATCTCCTGAAATTAGTGCCACAACAATGCATGTAAATATTTGTTCCATGCTTTTCAAATGGAATTATTGAAGTACAATTGTACATAAAACACTCTGAGTTTACAAAGTTTATGTCACACTTTTGCTTTTTACTGTTCTGGTAAACTGCTCAGTGGGTTTGAGGTGCATTTGACATGAAATGTTTTGATACTGGCTAAGTATTAAATAACTACACTGTATGTTTGTGAGTTGAAACATTCACTTGCATCTGAAAATATGTATGAATTGATATTACCGGTATACCATTTTCATGTATCAGTTAGACATTGTTACATTAAAAAAAACTACATTAAGCTGTATGAAAACATTTTCTATCCCACCTAATGGATATTGTCTATATATCAGTTAGTGTCTATGTTGGCAAAATATCACTATGAGCAAAGTTCAAATGGTCGTACTGCATATACTTCTTTGTTTGGATTCTGTGAAAAGAGAAAAAACATCAGGTTTAGTTTTAGCAGAGGTTATTCCCTCTGTTTTAATTTAAATAATTTGTGAAAGAAACTATTCATTCATTCATTCATTCTGTTATTAACTGCATATACAACACGGTTATAATTTAGCTAGCAACAAATAAAACCCAGTTAATAATCAATTCTTTTACAGTACTCTTCTTGATGATGTACTCTGTCACGTATATTTTCTAGGAATATATCTATGCTGTATTGTATTGCATATTTCTACTATGTTAATATTCTCATATTCTCAGTGTCATCAAAAGTGCTGAATTCAAGATGCCTGTCTAAACCAAACTAAACAATAGACCGAGAAAAAAAGCACCTTAGTTTAGATGCATGGTTCGGTTTGGACAGATTCACATCACATTATAAAAAAAGCTATGACTTTACTGAATGGAATATCACCATTATTATGACATTATATCCTGCCTTTTGCATTGTTGCATAATTTGGCAACTAAGCTTGACATGTATATCGGCGAATAATGTATTTATTGACCAGTACAATGAGTTGAACTTTTCAAAAAATTAAGGCGTGTATCTCAGAGAAAATAAAAAATACTTTTACTGAAAAAAAAAGTTTTGTTTTGCTCGTACAGTGTAACATACACAATATTTTCGAGTCCAAGGACTTGTAGTTTCACCTCTGCATCTGCACGTCCCTGTATCTTGGACATGCCACGACAGATTACATTCACACATGCACTACTTGGGATACATCGTAAGTTTTTCAAACTCGGAGGTGAAATGGCAGCCGTTTCCCCAAGGCCAAACTTAATAAATTTACCTCAGCATACCTGAATTACATATAGGGAATTTATTGGGCGTTAAGGCAATTTCCTTTGACTCCTTCATGAAGTTCAAGTCTGCATTTGTGCAGGGAATTAGTGGGCATGTCTATAACAACCACTTGAATAAAAAACAGACTTTTCTTTTCATCAATGTGGTTGATATTTAGTATAAAAGGATATTGTCGCCAAGTACCAGTGCCTTTTTCATTTGGACTATGCTGCTATTAAGTGAAAAGTGGTCAATCCTGTAAATCCGCTATATATCATTGGGGTGCACCGGCTTGGAAAACCTGTGAAAAGGGTCCTGTCTTTGAACTACAAATGTACATTCATTATATAAATCATGACCATATGTTGGCTTTGATGAAACTTGATGCAATTATGCTCTGGGCACAGGTTTTGGTTAAAATGTATGCATATTAATTACGTAATTTGCATAATGATTCGTCAATTTTGATAATTAGCTAATTTTAGCTGTTCCATGACTATCACTGATATCTAAACCACTCGCTGGAGTTTGATGAAACTTGGTACATAGATGCTTTGGACTATTCCACAGGATTTAGTTTGGGTTAAATACCATGCGTATTAATTACCTAATTTGCATAATGATTAGTCAATTTTTATCTGAAGTACTAATCAAATTCTGCTAAAAAATCAGATTTAAATTGATAATGTGGTAGAATGCTCTGGAATTAATTAGATTGATGTAAAATCAAATGTATTTGCTGAAAGTATCATAAATTTAGATACTGTGAATCACATTGTTTCACGCTGTGCATTTCAAATAGCTGAAAAATATTAGTTGGCAAGCTTGTTTGAAAAGCTAATCTTAAATTGCAATCAATTTTAATGTGTCTCCAATACTTGCAGGAGTTCTTTCTAAGCT